GATGTTGTATTCATGGATATTGATGCTGTTGCCATGGAGATTGCAGATATTGTTGCCATGGATATATCACTTTCACTCCCACATTGTTTTAAAAAATATATAATTTGTCAGCTGTTACCTATATATATAGCTACACCTGCTGCCTCATCATTCAGTAATTAAGTTAGCAGTAAAACTTGTCAATAAAATATCAACAGGATGCATGCTGTGCATCTTCAGAAGAACGTTTTATTCATAATTTTCATTCATATGAAATATGAGAGTTCATTTAATCTTGGACACCTGAGTTAGTTCGATAATGAAACAATTTTACCTGGTAATAACAATCATGTATTCATCTCGGATTATAAGAGAATCTCAAACAAAGCCCCATTGCACTGTATACAATTTTTTTTATTGAATAATTATAAGCTTCAGCAAGTTTTATAAAAATCAAGAATATTATATAATGTATTTGAGATTGTTTCTTATCATATATATATACCCGCGAACCACTACTTCTTACTACCAGGCCAGTGCCAAATTCAACAAAACTTTGTATAACATGAACATAAGTAATAGTTTTTTTTAAGTCGGGCAAATGTTTAATTTTCTTTGCTAATTAAAAGGCTAATGTTTCTGTTTGAAAAAAATTGCACTCTGTTTGTCCGTCCATCCTTCCTTCCGTCTTAATTCTGTCCATCCCAAAAGTTTGTCCGGGGTATATATTAATAGTGTAACTTTAATATTTCACCTGGAGTAACCTGATTTTGTAATTATTGCAAGCACATCTTTGGATGGCGAGTGTCATGTATAAAAAGTAGGTTACTGAGACCTATGGTTTGACCTTTGACCTCAACGTTTGAAAAAGTTTGTTTGGGACATATCTTCATTCTGGGATTTTCTGAGTGTCAAGTACGAAAAGTCGGTCAGTATCCTGAGATAGGTGTACATCTCCATAAATAAAGAAATCATTTAACTGATGGGGGATCTATGTATTGCCTTACTTTGCCTTGTTTTCATGAGCCTGCAGGTGTTCAAAAGGGTGATTGAAATCTGTACTCATTTACATTTTTTTTTTAAATTTCCTTCAGAAACTGATTTCTATCCGTTCTGCAGTATTTGATACAATATTTTGTTCTAACCTTCAGCCTTGACCTGCTATATCATTCCATTCTATAAGTCGCCATTGTGATTATAATGTTTGTGTAGCACCTAGCAACAAAGCGATGTACCTGGATGACACACGGTTGTACACAACTTTGAACCCTGAAGTAACCTACTTACATGTATATGGTTAGATTCTGTGGCTCATGCAAGACTTGGTGAACTTTTGATAATATCTGGAAGCATGCTATATGACTCACACAGAGGAGAATCTTCCATCGAGTTTGTAGAACTTTTAGCATTTATTAAGAATCAAGCATACCGTATATATCGTCAATAAGCCCATGCTTGATAATTATAATAAGCCCACCAAAATATATTGCAGTTAGGGTGATATACAAATTAACAAAGCTTTTTCATTGTCAAGTTATTAAATATATCCTGCTTTTAGTCACAGATTATGTGTTGTTTTTTTTGCAGGATAAATACGGTAATAACAGAAATTATATTAAGAAATCATGGAAAAATACCATATTTTAGTGTTTATAGCTTTAAAGACCTGTCCGGGGTTTCCTACTAACTTTAGATTTACTTAATTGTACCCCATCGTCTTCCTGTTTGTTGACTGTTTACTCTGAGATAATTTCTGCCATGTTCATTCAGGGAAAAATGAGATACAAATTGACCGGGTGTCGTTTGTAAAATGTATTGTGTGGTTGTCTAACAAATTTATAAGAGGAAGTAAATACAATATTTTGATTGGTCGGTCAGGAGTTTTTTCTGTTGTCTAATCGATACATATTATCTAGAGTACGTGCCTGTTAATTTGGTATTGTAGTATCATCCCTTTCCTCCATTATTACATAATCCTACTAGAATTATAGGAGTTACATTGCTTTGCTTTGTTCATAAACACCAGAGTATGATATGTATAACAGTGATTTCCTTAGTGAAATCTGTATAGTTATCTAAATAATCCTTTTAATTCATTCAACCCTACATATTTAAACTGGACTTGTCCAGTCTATGATATTAGACAAAATTGTTATTCATAAAGACGGTATCATTATCTAGATCTCTGGTCAGTGTTGTCATATGACATTATATGTTGTGTGACCCCATTAACTATGGACATTGTTGTCATAAGACATAAGTTGTGTGACCCCATTATCTATGGACATTGTTGTCATAGACATAAGTTGTGTGACCCCATTATCTATGGACATTGTTGTTGTAAGACATAAGTTGTTGTGTGACCCCATTATCGATGGACATTGTTGTCGTACGACATAAGTTGTGTGACCCCATTATCTATGGCCATTGTTGTTGTAAGACATAAGTTGTTGAGTGACCCCATTATCTTTGGACATTATTGTCGTAAGTCATAAGTTGTGTGACCCCATTATCTATGGAAATTGTTGTCATAGACATAAGTTGTGTGACCCCTTTATCTATGGACATTGTTGTTGTAAGACCTACGTTGTGTGACCCCATTATCTTTCGACATTGTTGTTGTAAGACATAAGTTGTTGTGTGACCCCATTATCTTTGGACATTATTGTCGTAAGACATAAGTTGTGTGACCCCATTATCTATGGACATTGTTGTCGCAAGACATAAGTTTTGTGACCCCATTATCTATGGACATTGTTGTCGTAAGACATAAGTTGTTGTGTGACCCCATTATCTATGGATATTGTTGTTGTAAGACCTACGTTGTGTGACCCCATTATCTATGGACATTGTTGTCGCAAGACATAAGTTGTGTGACCCCATTATCTATGGACATTGTTGTTGTAAGACATCAGTTGTTGTGTGACCCCATTATCTATGGACATTGTTGTTGTAAGACCTACGTTGTGTGACCCCATTATCTTTGGACATTGTTGTTGTAAGACATAAGTTGTTGTGTGACCCCATTATCTTTGGACATTATTGTCGTAAGACATAAGTTGTGTGACCCCATTATCTATGGACATTGTTGACGATCGTCTGTCGGTAGACCCAAACATCACATTCGACATAGAACTTTTTGGTTTTTCATTGTTAAGTAACAAAACAGTTGTTTCATGCCTTATCAGTCAACAGTCAAAACCATTTTCCCTCGGAGTTGGGACCCACCAAATGAACTGTTTCCCTCGGCCTGCGGCCTCGGGAAACAGTTCATCTGGAGGGTCCCAACTCCTCGGGAAAATAGTTTTGATCGTTGACTGATAAGACCCCATTATGAGGGACAGTGTTGTCATAAGACATAAGTTGTTGTGTGACCCCATTATCTATGGACTTTGTTGTCATAAGACATAAGTTGTTGTGTGACCCCATTATGAGGGACAGTGTTGTCATAAGACATAAGTTGTTGTGTGACCCTATTATCGAGGGACAGTGTTGTTCTAAGACATAAGTTGTTGTGTGACCCCGTTATCTATGGACAGTGTTGTCATAAGACATAAGTTGTTGTGTGACCCCATTTTAAGGGACAGTGTTGTCCTAAGACATAAGTTGTTGTGTGACCCCGTTATCTATGGACAGTGTTGTCATAAGACATAAGTTGTTGTGTGACCCCATTATCTATGGACATTGTTGTCGTAAGACATAAGTTGTGTGACCCCATTATCTATGGACATTGTTGTAGTAAGACATAAGTTGTGTGACCCCATTATCTATGGACATTGTTGTTGTGAGACATTAGTTGTTGTGTGACCCCATTATCTATGGACATTGTTGTCGTATGACATTAGATGTTTTGTGATCATAATTACTGAGTATTATAAGAAAGTGTTATCATGTGACCTTTTGTTATTAGATGTTGTGCGACCCCGGCTAGGATGTTTAGTGACCGATATGGACACTGAAGTCAAATGACCTATAGCTCTTATATATATGTTTTTAATTTAGATGTATAAACAAACATTAATATTTAACATTCAATGTTGTGATGGGCAATTAGTTTAATATCCGCGCTCCCAATCAATATCATACAAACACAGTCACGGAGTCGACGATAATATCACTATCTATGACTGTCAATATAGATATATACTGGAGGTGTTAACTGTCTAGATCAATTGTAAACCTGCCAGGTATTGTGAGAGGTACATGTAGGTAAGTGACCTTTCTATATATCATACCTATACTACCAGCTGGTAGTGAAAGAGTTTAATATGATAGAAGGTTTCTAATTAGCATTCAGGAAATGTCAATACAGGTATATAAATTCTCACCTGATGTTGTAAACATACAGGTGTTGACCTTTCATGTACACCTGGCGCAGGTAATTATAATTGGGATTGTTTTATGACTTTGTATAATTGTCAGAGATGATGTAGTTATATATGAACCATTACGTACAATGTAACACACTGTACAGGTATATATATCAATATCACCTGTACATTTGTTTGTGATGTGGATTCACGAACCATACTGACGATTGAGTCCTATAAGTTTATACATGTATTGTATACTGTAAACTGGGAAATGTTTGCTGCAGTTTCACTTTGGCCATTTTCAGTCTCTGTAATATGAACGCAAATTTATCATTACAGCGTATATTAGTAAATAACATGATATGTATACCAGTAGTAATAAGATATGAAGGGCGAAGTTAACACTCGGTGAATATGGATTTTAACGGTGAAGGTCGAACACTTGTGTTGGCAAAAGCTTCTCAGTATACAGTATAAACATTTCACTTTGACGGAGCCAGTAATCTAGATCAGTCAAATTAGAAAACGAAAATAGATCAAAAGAAGATAATCAAGCATATATCCGGGTATATACAGGGTATATGCAAAATTATTTAAAAAAAGAATTAATTTAGATTTTGTCATTGATTAGACACTTGTTGGTAGAAATTTAATTAAATGATTGATTTTAATGCATTTCTTCATCGCATGTGTTTTTTGTTTCCTCAGGCGATGTGACAGAGTTAATTATCTCCTCCTAGAAACACACAGTACAGGATGGTTGGATGCGGTTGCCATGGCAGTAAGTAGATCTTCACTTGAAGATTACTGGACAGAGTTCCATGATATAGAGAGTACCAAAGATCCTGATGAGGAGGAAGAAGAGGATGAACTCCCCAAAACCCCGGATGGTACGGTATTATTTTCTGTCAAATAAAACCATATTTTCAAAGTTTTGCTTTATACACGAACAATGTACATATAAAATGTGTGGTAACATTTTAAGAGCGACTGGTCCCTTTATCATGCAATGACTGAGTGAGTGATTTGTATTGTTTTAACCTGTACAACGATGTGAGGGAATTGTTCATTTCTTAAGTCACTCGACGCAAAGTGTTGGCCTATTGATAGACAGCATATACACACCATACCAAATAGGTGTATATGGTAGGGTGTAGATCTAGCCCCCTCCCCTGTTCTGTCAGTATCGGGTCATACAGATGACTCAACTGGTGTCCCCCTTCATCTCTGTTCATGTTTTCAGTATTCTATTCAATACAGTATGTAAAGCTTTGATATTACATGTTTCCAAACTGATGAATCTTATTTAATATATGTTATAAAAAAAGCATATTTTGACAAAATATGATACTTTGGGGATCTGGCAATAAGACATGATATTAAGAGGAATTTACATCAATGAAATGACACAAAACTATATATTGTCCATACATGTGTTTTAAATATAATAACTAAGGATAAATGATCCAAATATATTTGTGTAGAAACTAAAAACAACGGTAGTGTTCTTGGGCAAATCCTATGGTGGATACACTAGAACTCTTCAATGATAAAACGTAATAAAAAACATTTACCACAAGAATAGTTTAATTGAGATCTTTGCTTCTCGTATACATGTTTCGGCTTGCTATGTAATTGGCATCAAGCCCTGATGATGGTCGTATATTGCAGACTGAAATATGTACTATATTTATCCAGCAATAAGCCCATGCTTGGTAATAAGCCCACCAACATATATTGTGTTTAGTGTAAAATGGCAACAAAAACTTTTTCATTGTCCTGTAATAATTAGTCCACAAATGTCTGTCTGTCTGCACTAAGGTTAAGAAGAATGGTTAAGCTCAGTTTCAAGTTATTAATCATCCCTGACATCAACATAACGTGCAATTTGGCTTATGGATCTTAAGGATGTTTATCATATGCAATGCTTCAGATGCTACTTCTGACCTAGATTTTCTGCTTGACTGACCAGGTTAAAAAGATTGGGTAAGGTCAGACCCCATCTGCACTTATAATGGCTTCTTGTTTAACATTATATTGATGAAATGTGACATTAAATAGCATGATATAAAGTGACATGTGATATAAAGAGACTTGTTATTAAGTGGAATCTGATGTATCAAACTGCTGTTGTGTCAATACAAGTATCTATATTGTGGAGTTTTCTCTGGCAATACTGTAGTATAGATATCTATATTGTGGAGTTTTCTCTGATAGTTAAGTGTATTTCATTGACAGGGGAACAGGAGGCTAGATGGCTGAAGGAGGTTGGCTTGGATGCTGTCGTTAATCGAATCAAAGGTAGGCTGCCCTATATCTTGTGTATTTGAAGATTTGAAAAATCATAAATAGAGGATCTGTTACAAGTTTCCCTTCATATTAGATTTATGATACAAGTTTTGGATTTTTCATGTTTGCGAGCCTCTAGCGAGCAAATATGATAAATCCATATTGAGTGTCATAAGTCTTTTATTAAGGGAAACGTATGACAGATTCTTTTTATCATATAATACAAAGTAAACCGATAATTGTGATCTGAAAAGAAAATTTGCACTTTGTCGCCTCTGAAACGATGAAAATTGCGTCCGCTTCACGATGCCGTGACGTCACATTGATTGTTCCTATTCAATTGTGACGCCATTTCCGGAGTGATATTACACACGTTACATAAACATAATTTATGTGATGGCTTTATGACACTGTATCACAGGTTATTCATATGGTAGATATATATTGACATTCATCCAATTAATATATTCATTATTTTGTCGACCTGAAGTGTCCCTTTGGGGTTGTTATAATTGCTTGAATGCCCTCATCCCTTACAGTTAGGCATATATATACTGTATGTATAAGAAAATGTCCATAAAATATATTGTTTTTGTATCGTCTTTCATTTCCTAGATTAATCGTTAAATTGTTGCGATGAGAATAGAGTACATACAAGAATTACACATAGAGTTACTGCCATGTACAATACAAACACATGTGTACAATCAGAGAGCGGATATTGATACAATTTTTGCTTCACTTCCATAAGATCTTAAGGATCTCAACTTTTAATTGACATAGATGGACATGGGTTGACCGATGATGAAATGGAGGCTGTCACGGCGACCTTGACCTCCAGTCAGGCTGCTGTTGTGAAGCGACGTGTGGACACTCTCAGTACTACGATGCGTAAACGACAGAAGCAGAACAAAACTGATGTTCGGGATATCTTCCCGAGCCAGGAAACAGTCAACGGGGTCTGTACCTGTAGAAAATACCCAGTTTGTGCATGGATTAAGGTTTTCAAAAAGTAGGATTGGAATGCAGTAATTAATTAACATATTTAAGTCTGTTCAAAGTATGTGTGAAAATTGATATACAGTTACTGAGTAAATTCACTATTACCTTCTTTTCTTTCAAATGTATGTGAAACATCAGAATTTACCGTATGACAAGTTTAAACATGAGTTGTGATAATAAACTTACATCAAGTGTAAAAGGAGATGTTTGAAAATAGATTATATCACTCATGTAATAGTTTTGCTAAGGATTTGTTTAACAAAATACACTTACTTGATTTTGCTCAATTAATGCTGTAATGAAGCCTATTCATTTGACTTTTTGACACTTTATATGCTGGGTGTCCCGTCTCTGTGAGAAAACTAACTTCCTTCACACGCATTGCTTGCGTAAATTATAATACGTGTACAATTTTTTTTTAAATTTTTGGTCAAAATTACGAAAAAAAAAAGCCTGGATCAATAACCCATTATACAGTATGTATCACTTGATTTTCATCAGAGGTCAATGGATTCTACAATAAGAATGTTTGACAAAAGCCTTTGTATGGCATTAAAAAGTATAAGTGAACTTTGTGAAACACTAGTTCAGTAATGTATCTGAAGCTTACATGCAGAACTTGAGAAATTTAACGATATAGAGTAATACTATGTGCATTGATATACAAATAAGGTTTTTATAGATAGATGTACAGGGTGTAATAGCTGTAGTTCTGTGTTCTGATTAAGCTTTGGTTTTGATTCAGAGCTTTTATGGCAGTCCAGGATCTTTCCATCGACTATCAGGCGGGTCTATTGGGGAAGGGCAGACAACTCATGACCATGTGCGACATGGTAGTAAGCCAAAGGAGAGATCATTCATGAAGAGGGGAGGTTACTCTATGTCTGGGAGGAGGACAGACGAGGCTGTGAGCCCTGATCAAACAGGTAAGACAGTTTCCCTGTCCACCTGCTGGATAAACACTAAAGATTTCCACTGTGGTTTTGTTAATAGAACTCACACAACGAAGCTCGCATTTGCATTATCCTGGTTGAAATAGTTCAGGTGGTGCAGAAATATTCCACGATAAATGAACACACTTTGACTGAACAGTAGGCAGAGCTAAAAAGGCCTAATATTTTTTTCTTTAAAATAATGCTCAAACTGTAAATTTGAAACTGCTCAATTTTTTTTTTTACAATATGTTATACTGTATTCCATTTTTCATAAAAGAAAGACAATTAATGACTCACTGTATTAGAAAAGTGAAGTATAACTGTATTTGCCACACCTAGGGATAGAGATGCTGAGTGTCCATCCTAAGGGAACATACCACCGCCCTGTAGGGTCGAGGCTTTCTGGTGGCAGCCTGCCGTCGATATCCGACCACGAGGACATCATGTTTGAACTGAAACCGGATGATTCTACTCATCAGAGTCGGGGCCAGCAGAGGGTACGTACGAGTCAATACTGAGTCAGATGATACATTGGAACCCACTCATTTTAATCCCTTTGCAAAAGAAAAGTATTATAAAAACCGGGATATTATAACAGACAGCATGATTTTAGGTTGCCTATATCAGAAGTGAAACCCTGTACAATCGTCATTCCTACTGTGGAGCAAGAGGTAGAGATGGAAATAAAAGGAAATAATGATACTGACAATATACAATATACTGGGAAATTTTCGCTATAGTTGTCAGAGCGTTGGTATATAACAATCTGAGTTTCAGTGTCAGAAATGTGGGGGTCAATCCTGGTCTAGCTGGATTTTTTTTCCGCTGATCAGAACACTGTTACTGTGTTATTGACTATTTTTGTTTATTTCATCTTGAATTATTTTAATTGTCTTAAAAGTCCAATAAAGTATGGGTTTTCCTTTCAGTATTGGTTAATTAATGCTTGAATTATGCAGAAAAAACAGTTTCACACTTTTGGCAGGAATCCTTAAGGTCATCTATGATTTCATAAACTTATATTTGTTTGTTAATTTATTTCATTGTTATGCTTACTGTCATCATGTCTTATTGCAATGAAAACTTTATAATTCTTTTAACTTTTGCTTTCTAGCTTGTGTATCACCAGGGATCCCAGCAGAAAACTGGAGATAATTTACCAGTAAGGTTTTAAATTTTACCTTAAACAATTGTTATCATAATAATATTTGTGAAAATCGTTTTTATGCAATAGATAAACTTAATGACTATAAGTCTCTCCAGGCTTGAGAAGTAAGTTTATTGTCTCAGTTTAATTAATTTGAATACTGTGAGTTTTATTTTTACAAATAAAAAACTGTTTGCCTGTTGGAGCTCAATGGTTCAAGCTTCACTTAAGGATAAGGGTGTCAATAAATGTCATTATATTCCTGTTTTGACATTGGCTGCGGTGGCCAAGTGAGTAAGGCGTTTGCCATCTGCTACCACTAGCCCTCCACCACTTGGTCGCAGGTTCGATCGAGGCCTTCGTGGGGCAGTCACCAGATACTGGCCGTAGGTCCATGGTTTTTCTCCAGGAACTTCAGCTTTCTTCCAACACCAAAACCTGCCACGTCCATAAATGACCATAACTGTTAATAGGACAAAAAACACAAACAAACAGACAAACAATCAAACAAAACTTGTTTTGACAGAATTTGTTTTGTTGTGGTGTCCAGTGTGCATCTGATAACAATTCAAAGCAGAATATCTACCAGGGAGGGAGAGGGGTGTATACTCGCGAACCTTGATTTATGCATTTCATTCACCCCTGAAAACACATTTGAACTCTTCCAATTCCAAGGTTTGAATAGTTCATTATGAAATTTCAGAGGTGAATGAGTTAATTGTTCAGTAAATTATGTTACTTTTCTTTGGTATTCCTGTTTTTATTGATTGAGTATACTACGAAGTTTGCTTAGCGTAGAATCGCACACTTTCCTTATATGTCTGATTTTTCATTAATCTATTTAATTGAATCTAATTTCTCTTTGTACGGAATAGGATTTCTCCTTATATTTGTTTTTAATATTTACACAATCAGTAAGTATATACAAAAATATGTATAAGACTAAACTGTATTGAAAAAAGATCTGAAACTAAAACAAAATATAAAAAAGAAATACCTGTTTTTAAAATTTACACAACCAGTATTTCTATTTACAGAATTTTACACTTGTACACGATAAGCTTGGCGTGACACAAATGAGTGACCTCAGTGCTAGTGACATGTCCCAAATAAGGTCACTGGCTCTCTTAGAACTCACCTCAATGTTTGATAATCATAACATCACCTACAGGCATCGAAAGGCAAAGAAAAGGGTGAAAGGTACGTGATGTGTCGGTCCCTCCTCAGTGATAGAGTTTTGCCAGTTTAAAGACAAATAGAAGCAGCTGCTTCCACTGCAAAAAAAAAGCATTTTATTTTCCTAAAAAGAAGCAGAAAAAAAGGAATATTTTCCACATTTCATTAAAAATATTTCTAAATATTTTCATAATTCATGTAAGCTGCTGTAAAATTTAGGATGGATATAAGACTCTTTCATGCCCAGGGGTGTAGGACAGGGAAATTTCACCTGAGGGTTTTTCAAATTTGGTAAAACCCAGGCCTTAATTTGCTAAAGGTTTTACCAAATTTGAAAATCCAGAGGGTGGAGTTCCTCCTTCCTACACCCCTTGAGCATGAAAGAGTTTCTTTATCTCATTACAACTACCAGGATAAGCTATGAAACCAAGAAAATGCATTTGGACTTAAGCTACCATTTTGAAAACATCAATTTTTCCCCAGAGCTTTTTTGACAAAAACTTATATGTCATTGATCGTAAAAGGTTTTAATTTCGTCACATTGCTTTTTCCGCATTGGGGCATCAGAATTTTCCGAATTCGTGATGTCACGTCATTGTTGAGCCATTGTGATGTCATGTCACATGAAATGGGGTATCAGATAGATATTACCTCCTCTCCTTTCTTACCCTGGACGGCTCTATCTTACCCTGGACAGCTCTATCTTACCCTGGACAGCTCTATCTTATCCTGGACAGCTCTATCTTACCCTGGACGGCTCTATCTTACCCTGGACAGCTCTATCTTACCCTGGACAGCTCTATCTTACCCTGGACAGCTCTATCTTACCCTGGACAGCTCTATCTTACCCTGGACAGCTCTATCTTACCCTGGACAGCTCTATCTTACCCTGGACAGCTCTATCTTACCCTGGACAGCTCTATCTTACCCTGGACAGCTCTATCTTACCCTGGACAGCTCTATCTTACCCTGGACAGCTCTATCTTACCCTGGACAGCTCTATCTTACCCTGGACAGCTCTATCTTACCCTGGACAGCTCTATCTTACCCTGGACAGCTCTATCTTACCCTGGACAGCTCTATCTTACCCTGGACAGCTCTATCTTACCCTGGACAGCTCTATCTTACCCTGGACAGCTCTATCTTACCCTGGACAGCTCTATCTTACCCTGGACAGCTCTATCTTACCCTGGACAGCTCTATCTTACCCTGGACAGCTCTATCTTACCCTGGACAGCTCTATCTTACCCTGGACAGCTCTATCTTACCCTGGACAGCTCTATCTTACCCTGGACAGCTCTATCTTACCCTGGACAGCTCTATCTTACCCTGGACAGCTCTATCTTACCCTGGACAGCTCTATCTTACCCTGGACAGCTCTATCTTACCCTGGACAGCTCTATCTTACCCTGGACAGCTCTATCTTACCCTGGACAGCTCTATCTTACCCTGGACAGCTCTATCTTACCCTGGACAGCTCTATCTTACCCTGGACAGCTCTATCTTACCCTGGACAGCTCTATCTTACCCTGGACAGCTCTATCTTACCCTGGACAGCTCTATCTTACCCTGGACAGCTCTATCTTACCCTGGACAGCTCTATCTTACCCTGGACAGCTCTATCTTACCCTGGACAGCTCTATCTTACCCTGGACAGCTCTATCTTACCCTGGACAGCTCTATCTTACCCTGGACAGCTCTATCTTACCCTGGACAGCTCTATCTTACCCTGGACAGCTCTATCTTACCCTGGACAGCTCTATCTTACCCTGGACAGCTCTATCTTACCCTGGACAGCTCTATCTTACCCTGGACAGCTCTATCTTACCCTGGACAGCTCTATCTTACCCTGGACAGCTCTATCTTACCCTGGACAGCTCTATCTTACCCTGGACAGCTCTATCTTACCCTGGACAGCTCTATCTTACCCTGGACAGCTCTATCTTACCCTGGACAGCTCTATCTTACCCTGGACAGCTCTATCTTACCCTGGACAGCTCTATCTTACCCTGGACAGCTCTATCTTACCCTGGACAGCTCTATCTTACCCTGGACAGCTCTATCTTACCCTGGACAGCTCTATCTTACCCTGGACAGCTCTATCTTACCCTGGACAGCTCTATCTTACCCTGGACAGCTCTATCTTACCCTGGACAGCTCTATCTTACCCTGGACAGCTCTATCTTACCCTGGACAGCTCTATCTTACCCTGGACAGCTCTATCTTACCCTGGACAGCTCTATCTTACCCTGGACAGCTCTATCTTACCCTGGACAGCTCTATCTTACCCTGGACAGCTCTATCTTACCCTGGACAGCTCTATCTTACCCTGGACAGCTCTATCTTACCCTGGACAGCTCTATCTTACCCTGGACAGCTCTATCTTACCCTGGACAGCTCTATCTTACCCTGGACAGCTCTATCTTACCCTGGACAGCTCTATCTTACCCTGGACAGCTCTATCTTACCCTGGACAGCTCTATCTTACCCTGGACAGCTCTATCTTACCCTGGACAGCTCTATCTTACCCTGGACAGCTCTATCTTACCCTGGACAGCTCTATCTTACCCTGGACAGCTCTATCTTACCCTGGACAGCTCTATCTTACCCTGGACAGCTCTATCTTACCCTGGACAGCTCTATCTTACCCTGGACAGCTCTATCTTACCCTGGACAGCTCTATCTTACCCTGGACAGCTCTATCTTACCCTGGACAGCTCTATCTTACCCTGGACAGCTCTATCTTACCCTGGACAGCTCTATCTTACCCTGGACAGCTCTATCTTACCCTGGACAGCTCTATCTTACCCTGGACAGCTCTATCTTACCCTGGACAGCTCTATCTTACCCTGGACAGCTCTATCTTACCCTGGACAGCTCTATCTTACCCTGGACAGCTCTATCTTACCCTGGACAGCTCTATCTTACCCTGGACAGCTCTATCTTACCCTGGACAGCTCTATCTTACCCTGGACAGCTCTATCTTACCCTGGACAGCTCTATCTTACCCTGGACAGCTCTATCTTACCCTGGACAGCTCTATCTTACCCTGGACAGCTCTATCTTACCCTGGACAGCTCTATCTTACCCTGGACAGCTCTATCTTACCCTGGACAGCTCTATCTTACCCTGGACAGCTCTATCTTACCCTGGACAGTTCTATCTTACCCTGGACAGCTCTATCTTACCCTGGACAGCTCTATCCTACCCTGGACAGCTCTTTCTTACCCTGCATGGCTCTATCTTACCTTGGACAGTTCTATCTTACCCTGGATGGCTCTATCTTACCCTGGACAGCTCTATCGTACACACAAGGAAATGAGAGAGAGAAAAAACAGCTACTCAAGTGGAAATATAATTTCTACACAGTCAATTTTCGTTATTACAAACTTTCATATCGTAAATACTGTAAGCATACATATTTAAGTGGTGGTAATAAAACTTTTTGTGCTTTATTTCGAAATATTTCATAAAGCGCTTAATAAATAAATGCACCAATTGAAGTTTATGGATGCGTTGTTCTCTAATACAAGATACATATTTTGTGGAAGCATCATTTCACTAATGCATTTATATGTGTTAAAACATTTCAATGTCCTAAAATTTGAGGTCATTAAAATAAACACATTTGCAATACTTCAAGTTGCCCTCTACAATTGGCCCCAAATCCATCAGTCAGGTGTTGCACTGATTAATAAAAAATTGCATCAATAATTTAAAACAATCTTTAAAAGTCATATACATGAATTACCACAATTCATATTACTATTTTCGACAGGACATAACACAGTTATACTTATGACATCTGGTTGCTGGGATGCATATTTCGTTTCCTGTCTGTTTCAGATCATGGTCTATTTGGTGTTCCCTTACAAGCACTTTTAGAAAATGACCGGAAAATAGATTCTCGAGTCACCACCCCAATCATCTTTCATGATGTAAGTCTGATAATGATGATATTTATTTCACCTGCCCTAAAGGACTTAAGGAGATGATTCGGACTATCGGTTTTGTTCAAACGAATGACCTTGACCCACTTTCATTTCCACAGCAGTAATTTAATGCATTAAAAATTGATCACCAACTTCTTAAGAATAACAAGCGGCCTAGGGTGATGATATTTTACTTTACGATAAAGGTGATAAGGATCATGTTAGATGTTGAACAACTTCTGATGAATAACAAGCGGCCTAGGGTGATGATATTTTACTTTACGATAAAGGTGATAAGGATCATGTTAGATGTTGAACAACTTCTGTTGAATACACAAGAGGTTTGAAGTCATGATATTCAACCTGTTACTTGCTTGGATGAAGGACTATTCTTTTTTTTTTATCAAGGTACTATTAGGCCAAATAAAATTAATTAATTGGTTCTGAGACAGGCCAATATTTTTCAAAAGATATGCAGCAGGGTGGAATTTGACATGGCAAAAACGAGACGAGGGCGATTTTTTTTTATTGTGTAGTTTGTAAAACGTTCATTGTGGGCATTACCTTGTCTTTTTATAGTTGTGTAGAGACCCACCATAGAGCAAGCCTCCGAAAATCCCCCCACGGTGTTCCAGACGAGAATCACAGCCCCCCCATTCCGAAATGAGCGCCATTTGTACACAAGACTTATAAGTCATAATCATTTTAACGCCTGTATATCAATCCTTATCTTTATTCAAACGTTTTTCGGGACTTGGGTGACTTAAGAGTAAAAACGACATGCGGACCAATTTTTCGGATTTTTTTAAAAGACAGCTGGCGCATTCACAATTTTTTTGTTATTACTTTCACAATAAAATTGGCAATGCGGTTCCCTAAAATAAAATGCGCGCGGGCCTGAGAACCAAGTTATCAATTTTTTTGGCCTTATAAGGACCACAATATTTGTGTATCCAAAGAATTTACCCTCAGTTGGGTATTTTTTGCTAGTAATTTTTTTATCTATAGACTCAACTTCCTAGAGATCCATGTTTGTATAACACTGGTTAGAGTATGTAGATGTATTTTGGCCAGGGTTCTGTGTAATAAGCTCTTGACATGAAGTATTTTGTGTATTGATTGACGTTGCGGCATGCTAATTTAAATTTATCATGTTACTTATAAAAGTTTAATTATATCCACAGATTATCCAGTTTATCGAGGGTCACTGTCTAGAAACAGAGGGTATTCTCCGAGTACCAGGCTCCACTGGTAGGATAAAGGTATACTAGATAAGGAATTGATAAAAAATGGACGAATATTTGAAGATTTGTATAAATTACATTGAAAAGTGACCATGTCCTGGAAAAAATTGCCTAAATCTCATGTTTTCNCCTGGAAAAAATTGCCTAAATCTCATTTTTTAAAAAAAAAAAAAAAAAAAAATTTAAAAAATTTAAAAAAAAAATCTTCCTGAAAAGTAAGTATTTTCATTAAACATGTTGGAAGGTTCATGGTTGCTTCTTGATTATCTAAAAATGGACTTTAAATGTTGACAAGCTTTTATTAAAGTGCATCTATGATTTAACAACTCACTCTGGCACCATGACCACTAAATGTATTCTGACTAAAATGGACGCCCTACCAGATACAGAAAACTGTTTTTCTCAAATGTTTGCTCAATTCATGTTAACTTACAATGAGCATGCACATTTTATAATTAATAATTCAAATTTTTTGAAGTTTTGAACGATTCTATAATTCACTAAACTTGTTCTTGTTTAATTTGTCAAGCAACATTACATGTTATTTAATCTACCTAAAAAGTATAAATACTTTCATGTTGTCCCCAATGTAGGTGAAACACCAAACGTACAATCACACGTCAATGCAGATATCTATTTCTACAAATTACAGTAAATACATGTGATCTACAACGTAAACAATAAGTAACGCTGTGGTAACTACACTGTACCACTTGGACAATTCAGTTCTAAGGATGCTGATTTGATAGTGGATAATCTTATCCTATTATTGATTAAACAATACATTTTTAGGTCACCTGAGACAAAGTCTCAGGTGACCTATTGCGATCGCCTTTTGTCCGTCGTCCGTCGTGCGTCCGTAAACAATTTACATTTTCGACTTCTTCTCCGAAACCCCTGAACCAATTTCAATGAAATTTTGCAGGGACCTTCCATGGACAAAGGTCAACAAAAATAGTTGCCGGTTTAGTCCTAAGCCCCCAGGGGCCTGAGGGGCGGGGCCAAAAAGGGTCAAATTGACTAAAATTTCAAAAATCTTCTTCTC